GATTTATCTGTCTTCCCTATGTTTCAGGTGTAACGGAACGAATTGCTAGGCACCTCAAGAAGAACGACATCGTAGTGCGGTACGGCACGGTCAGCAAAATTCGGAACACACTCCCGATAGCCAAGGACAAACTAACTCCATTAAAAGGAGCGGGAGTCTATCGACTATCGTGTAGTTGTGGGAAGGTTTATGTTGGCCAAACTGGACGCAACGTCGAGTGCCGCATCAAGGAGCATGAGAGGGATGTAAGGCTGAAGAAGATCCAGCAGTCGGCGGTTGCGGAACATTGCCATGCAGAGGGGTACCGAATAGACTTCGAACAAACAAAGGTGCTGGCTAGGGACAACAGATACTACCAAAGACTGACAAGAGGATCCATAGAGATCCACCGACATAAAAATAACGTCAACAGAGAGGATGGCTGGGAACTTAGCAGAACATGGAAGATGGTGGTGAACACGAAGACCTCTTCCCGCCTCACACCGGACGCGACGCAATTTGTTAATAATTAGCTTGTAATTAGCGTTAACTGATTATTAATTAGTTTTTCCGACTTATATATAATTACCGATTTTTGATCTCGTCACTTCGAACCAGTTTCTGAAGAAGGTTGCAAAATGGTATCCGAAACGTCAAACCTTTTATTAAAAGACGCACGGCAAAACCCGAATGTTTCTAGTGTTAGTTAGTTTTAGTTCTAATTTTAGTTTAATTCACACCGGCCGTGAAAGCCTTCGTACTTATATTATGCAAGGTTTGTAAAGCGTATTGGTACAATACGCTTTACAAACCTTGATATTATGCTCAGCTGTTGTAAAATGACGTTTGAAATTTAAATAGTTTAGTTAAATCAAAATAAAATTGTATTCTATGTTATGAGACTTAATCTTTGGTAAGTACCTATACAGATTACAATAATTTTGTTTTTCGGCAATTTAGTTTTAAAAAATAATAAGCTAATGCAATAATACCTTATTTTAATGGCAAAATGAGGTGTTTGAAGAATTATTATAACAACGTACAAGAAATTATTAATGATCTTATGGATGTTCCGGTAGAATTTGCTACTAATTCTAGTAATACAATCTCTACCAGTTTAATAGTAAATGAACCACTATTAAATCCTACACAAGCTATAGAAAAACGCAGATGGGTAATAAAAAAGTCTCAAGGAACAAAACGTGAAATAACAAGTTATTAAAAAAATCCTGTTTAGCAGATATTAATACTAAAGGCAAACAAATGTCTGCAAACTTCCCTAGAAATGTTAATTGTGACAATTGCCGCTATAAATGTACAGAAGCATTTCCTGCAGATGGTGGACAAGATATCTGTCAACAGTATCACAGTCTATCCTATGACAGACAAAAGGACTTTATAATTAATACCGTTGCAACTTCTGAATGCAGAAGAAAACGAACTCTAGTAGACCTGCAAAAATATTTCTAAAATTTATATATTTATTAAATATGGAGAAAAGAAAAGGCCGGTTAATTCTGCCACACTGAACATAGGTACAAATGGAATAAATCATTCAATTCAAAATCAACGAGAAAAAAGATCCCCAGGAAGCAAGACTAAACCTGTGTTTTTGAATGAGGGAAGGGGAATATAATAGAATATAGAATCATTCCCTGTAACGGAATCACATTGTTGTAGACGTGGGACAACACGGAAATATCTTGACTCTACCTTATCCATTCTTAAAGCGTATGAATTGTGCAAAGATTTACAGATGAGCAATCAAAAGGATTTTGTTTCTCCCATAACATATAGGAGGGTGTTTTGAACGCAGTATAACTTTTCTTTCTTCAAACCAAAGAAAAATCAATGTTTGCTGTGTGTTAAAGAAGCTAAATCTATTGAAAAATCAGAAGAATTTCTTTCTTACCTAAAGCAAAGAGATGATGCTAATAGAGCTAAAGATTTAAATAAACAAAGAACAATTCATGACGAAACTTTTGTATCAGTACTTTGTACAATCTTAAGTCATGCTATGGGTACGTATTTTATTGAACTGCCAGTAATTAGAATAAAGTACTCAATGGCATAAATTGAATTTAGTCATTCAATAAGGGCAAACATCTATAGGTTAATGTTTTATAAAACTAATATATATCNCCCAGGCAGCAAGACTAAACCTGTGTTTTTGAATGAGGTGAAGGGGAATATAATAGAATATAGAATCATTTCCTGTAACGGAATCATATTGTTGTAGACGTGGGACAACAGGGAAGTATCTTGACTCTACCTTATCCATTCTTAAAGCGTATGCATTGTGCAAAGATTTACAGATGAGCAATCAAAAGGATTTTGTTTCTCCCATAACATACAGGAGGGTGTTTTGTACGCAGTATAACTTATCTTTTTTCAAACCAAAGAAAGATCAATGTTTGCTGTGTGTTAAAGAAGCTAAATCTATTGAAAAATCAGAAGAATTTCTTTCTTACATAAAGCCAAGAGATGATGCTAATAGAGCAAAAGATTAAATAAACAAAGAACAATTCATGACGAAACTTTTGTATCAGTAAGTTTTGATTTACTATAGTCGAAAGCGATGTGCATACAATTTAAGAAGCAACTCCACCAAATAAAGGATATTGTTATCTTTTGGTCGGAAGTAGATGGCCAACGACGAAGTTGTGAAATAGGTACAGCTTTATTGAAGTGGTTTAAACGTTACCTGATACTGTCAAAGAAGTGTCACTCTTTAGCACCACATGTGGCAGCCAAAACCGAAACAAATACATTGCGGCTCTTTTGTTGTTTATAGTCAACCAGTTAGCAAAAGAGATTTGTATAATGTTCCGATACAACTATGATGAACAGTATAAAATATTTAATGTTAAAGGCGAAGTAAAACGTAGGCCCAGTAATATTCCTAAAGAAACTGAATTAAAGAAATGTTAAACTGAACGCTTGCCTATATCGACCAAGAAAAAAAACGATTTAATTAAACTTTTACGTAAGGGGGTAAATTCCGGTCGAATACTATTGGTACTATAACATACCGCGTGACAATTTCTTGAAAGACAGGTA